TCCATATTGCGCAAGTGGGAAGCTCTGTTTTGGGGATTACGTCTCTTTATACAGGCAACCCCAGTTGTGTTCCTCTGCGGCCAGATCAAACCTCGTTGTAGCCTATATATTATGCTCTATTCATTATTTTTTAGAAACCTTGCACCTTTATACTCCGTTTTAAATGGTGTTCTTGTATTCAAATTAAGCGCGGTCCACTGCAGCGCACGTGCCGCGATATCGATACAGGGCCAGCTGTATCGATACTTGTATCGTCAGATCTCTGTGACGATACATCGTCGTATCGATGTATCGAACACAGCACTAGAATTCAGCCCATTTTACTTCTGTGATGTGGATATGCAGCTATAAAAAAATGTAGACGGGGGCTTTATTTTATCCAGCGGGATTTGATTGACTTGCAATAAGAGGGAATTACATATGGACCAGCACAGTTAGTTCACCGTGATCTCTATATGACTGGTGATTGAAGGAGAAGGGTTGAAAATTAGAGGGTAAAAAAGTAAAGTAGAGAAGCAGAAACGGAGCAAGTTCCGACATTTTCGTAAAAGATTGCGAAGACAAACACTTTACTCTTTACAATAATGTGCACCAATGAATCATTCAAAGTATGACCACAAACGTCTATGACGAAAATAAATAGGGTCAAATTTGATTTCATGTTGACTTTGAAAAAACCTTATGATTGAGTCTTGTTCGCTAATTGTGTGTAAATATAATATTTAAAAATATTAAAAAATTTAAATATGAAAAGTATAATATTGAATAGTGCTATTTCAATAATATTTTACAAAAATATTTTATAAATTAAGGACACTATTTTGCATATCTCTATGTTGGATCTACATTATTATATACCAGGGCCATAACCACCAAAGACATTGAGGGGGACAAGTGCCCCCCAATAATTAGAAATGGAAAAACTGTACACCCCCAATGTTTGAAATTCTTGCACTGATCTGCTGCCCTCCATTACACAGCGCTTGTTGTTAGGATGACGAAAAGCTTTATAAGTTATATTTTCAGCCTGGTCTCACTCAGCGGGCTAACAGCACTCGTCAATGTCAAAATAATTGAGATGGCCAATCAAATCAATGTAGGCAGGGTTTACTGTTCACAGAATCAGTGTGAATTCCAGCGCGAAGCGTCAGTTTAACGTTGAAAGAGAGTGAGGTAAGATGGAAGTTGCCAATCATTTAATATTAGTCAACTGTTTTACAATAGAAATATGGCCATTTGAGAGAGAGGGACAGGGAGGAAAGTTGTGTGTATGAATTACCTGCGTCTGTGCGTCTCTCTCTACAATCAATGAAACGATGAGTTTACTTATTTAAAAACATTGATTTTACCTCTTCGTTGCTGAGAAATATAATGTACCGATTCAGTATCGAAGCTATTTTATAATTAAAAGTCGTGGGGCAGCGTTGACAACATGTTTCTGTGCTCCTGAGTCCTGAATGTTTCTGTGTGCACGCAGTGCGATCTCTGATTTTGTGTGAGAATTGTGTGTGTGTGTGTGTGTGTCAATGAAAGCGGCGCATTAATATAGAACGGTGATATCTATCTTATCTATCTATCTATCTATCTATCCATCTGTTTGTCTATCTGTCTGTCTGTCTGTCTGTCTATCTATCTATCCCCCCAATGTTCAAGACATGGTTATGGCCTTGTTATATACTGTTATTTATATTTACATATAGTTTTCATATAAAATGTATACATTATTACAAACACTAGCACTTTTATTAGTGCAAAATTATTATTGAATCAGACCCACTGATAGGAAATTCTGTGTTCTAGATCCAGTGACTCACTGTGCGTGATTTTAGAGCAAATGTTGCCTCAAGCTGACCTCAGACAAATGGTCGTTTCAGAATGATACTTGTAAATATGTCTGTTCATGCTTTAAGCATAGATGCTGAGCTTGATGGTGTGGAACAAGTGCATCACTGTAAACTCAGAGAACAAAATGCCAAATCATAATGTTGGAACAGGCAGTCAGGGAGAGGCAACAGCCCATTGAAAGAGCTCCTCAGAGAGAGCACTGGGACTGGCGCTACGATGCTGGCACTGCACTCGCGTTAACGTCTCCACGCTCTGCTAGCGGCTCTACGACTGCCATGCCAGTTGAAACTCCTCTCCATTTCTGCTGGGAGCCCTGCTTCAGAGTCTTCACGGATATGACACGTGCGTGCTATTACAGAGATGAGCGCTGGAACCCGTCAAACACCAGAGCCATCATCCCGACATCGGCAAGAGCTTGTCTTGACGTTTTTCTGTAGATTTGACGTGTGTCAAGAGGACAGGAAACATAGAATCAGACAAGAATACCCGCCGATTGATCAACCAGCAGATTGATCGTCTGCTGAAAGTAACTGAAGCAAATAAATCATTTGATGCCTTGTGCAGAATGCGAATGGCATCTAATGGGTGAAGCTGCAGGAGAGGTCGTCCTGCCCATAATTTGACTTGATGAAGCATCCTCGCCGGGCCCGCATGAAATATGCTATTGATATTCAGCCAGCTCCGCTTCCAGCCCCGCCAAATCCCTAACCGACCCTCACCAGAGCAGGGCTCCGCATTATAGTGATAAATGAAGAGGAAAATGTAAGTAACGTTGAGTTATGAACCTATGATTTCAACAAACTGACCTCAGAGGAGGGTGAATTTGTCCGTTCGGTTATTCTGCATATGTAAGCACACGAAGAGACCTCGCGCCAACAACCGGCGCCCCCTAGCATTTTAGGAGTTTATGATATCATTCGGCTTCACGGTGCCAACAGCGTGATGTCAGCTCAAGTTGACTCGAGTTGAGGTTGATGAAATTACACTGCAAGTGGGTGTCATGAGCTTATTAGGGTTTAAAGCAGATCAGTGTTGAACAAACAGAAAGGGAGGAAGACGGAGACAGTGGGAGCAGAGTGTCAGTTAAAGGGGTTCACGCTCACTCGATCGCAACACTGTCTTATCTAAATGAAATTGGAAAGCAGGACAGCGAAACATTCCTTTTGGCAATTTGCATACAAAAATCAACAAGGCTCATTATTTAAGGAACCGCAATTCCTTATGTGCCGAAATCTCATTAGAGCCCTGCTCTGAGCAACGGTGTGTACCACACCTAATCGAGCTATTTATCATTATTGTGCTGGGCCTCATGTATGTTTGCTAAAATTAATACACATCTCAGCCAGCACAAAGTGCAGCTTTACCAGATGGATAATTGATTTTACAGTGAATCGAAACTGTTGAGCCATAAAATGGGCACATTAGCATGCATATTAATAACGCAAATAAGAGGGCGAGGCTGTCGCCACCAGGCCAGATTAAGTGACAGTCTTTATTTACAGTGTTGCCGGGAGACGGTGACAGTGTAGCTTAATGAGTCTTCTCCTCAGGCTCAGGTACCTCTCTTTCTCCCCCGTGCATTTAGTGTCGTCTGGCTCAGTCTTGTCTCCCGCAGAGGGGCCGTGACTACAACATGCAGTCTTGCCACTTGTTGTAGGACGTCAAAGCTATTGGAGCTGGTCTCATGGTGTGGCCCTTTGTTGAGCCCACTGCTCGACGTTGAGGCTTAGCTCGGTCATTAAACTCAGAGGAGAGCCATTTAGGTCTGACAATTGAGCTGAATAGTTTTGACAAGGAGGCGGAGGAATGTCTCTGGGAAAAATTGGTACCCTACGTGATTATTATTATTATTTTTTTGTGTTTAGCTCAGCCAAAAGTGGCATTAAACATGTTTTTGTTCAACTTTTGTTTGCCCGGTATTTTCACAAATACAGCCTTATTGTGAGCTTTTGTGTGAAGACTCTTCACTAGTGAACAGCAAGACATTATTCAAGTTGAGGGTGTTTTTTTTTAAGAAAGAAAGAAAGAACTTACAATTTTTTTCAGCATGGATGCATTTATTTAATCAAAAGTGACAGTATAGACATTTATAATGTTTCTATTTCAAATAAATCTGAAAGATCAAGTGATACTGAAGACTGTAGTAATGGCTGCTGAAAATTTTACTTTGCCATCACAGGAATAAACTTCATTTTAAAATGTATTAAAATTAGGGCTGTCAGTCGATTCACATTTTTAATCTAATTAATTACATGATGTTTCGATTAATTAATCTAATTAATCGCAATTAATCACAAAATAAATTTGACTGTGAAAATACCCACAAAAGATTATTTAAAGCTATTTTTGTGTTAAATGAGAAAGTATGAAGTAGACATTACAAATTGTAGCTTTAGAACTATTTGATTTGATTCAACATAAAATTAAAGTTTAAAGTCATTGAAAATACTTATTTCACATAAACATTTAGGCTACAACAGCCTAACATAAACTATGGAACATAAAAGAAGATAATCTGAGAAACATCTCAGTATTTTTTGTTCATACAATGAAAGTCATTGGTAACCAAAAGAGCTTTGTTACCAACAGTCTTTAAAATACCTTCTTTTATGTTCCATAAAAAAAAAGGTTTGAAACGACATGAGGGTGAGTAAATGATGACAGAATAAAAATTTTTGGGGTGAACTATCCCTTTAATGTTTTTTATTTTTATTTTTATTATTGTTATTATTATATATATATTTTTTTTTTTTATTAAATGATACTCTAAGAAAATCTGCCAGCAGGTGGGGGTAAATATCTTTGAGTCGTTCATTCATTTGAATGGCTAATTCATTCAGGAATGAAGTAAACGGCTCTCTTTATGAATTCGTTAAAAACACGGATTCATTCAGAAACTAAACACCGCTGTGTTGCTCGGAGATGCGCAAACAATTCTGCTATGGCTTTAAAGGTAATGTTCTCTGCTAAATTGAGCAAAATCCATGTTATTGTGTTTAAAATATAACACAATATCAACTTCTTATTTACTGAAATGCTGTATAAAATCACATTTAAACTTGTGATATTCAGGACAAAATCTGCACTCGTGTGATACTGCTCTCGCTATTGCTCTCGCTGCTCATGTGATATCGCTTATCATATGATATAAATGAGACAAAAACACATACAGGGGCATTTTTGCACCAATATCTTGAATTTTAGGGCATACCTGCATTTATGGAGTTGTTGCGCTGCATCGTATTTGTCAACAGTCAACTGTATGAAATGTAAGATGATGTACAGGTCTGGGGGCGGGGCCAGTGCGTTAACTGCTTTAAAATATTTTAATCGCGTTATTTTTTATAACTAATTAATTAAGTTAACGCGTTAAACTGACAGCCCTAATTAAAATACAAAAGTTATTTTAAATTATAATAATATTTCCTAATATTATTGTTAATTATATATCCTATTATTATTATTATTATGATTAAGTAAATTCAGCCTTGTTGAGCAAAAGAGACTTGTATGAACTGTATCCCACAACTGTATCCCAAGCAGACTTGGGTGAGTTCAGAAAACTGAAAAGTTGTAGGCCTTGAAGCACTGCTGATTTCTCTCTTCTGCGTTTTGATCCCATAGGTGTTGGCCCTACCAGTATGTTAATCCCCTACTGTCAACAGAGCGCCATCCCTCTGCATTTAAAGTAATCTCTCTAAATGTCACAGGAAAAGCCCATGTCATGTATATTTAGTCTGGGCGTCTGGCATTTGCTGCTCCTTAAGAGAAGAGTACACGGAGCCGCTGTAGTCTCGAGAGAGATGGAGGAGCCCAGATATTAAGGCTTCGCAAACATATGATACAGCACTTGGAAGGAGCGAAGTTAAAGATGGCCACCTTGCTGCAGAACGTTTAAGAATGTAGTTCGGAGGCAAGATTACAAGGTGAAGCAGAAAGGATGGAGAGACTGGTATATCCTATAAAATCGTCATTGGGTTTAAACATTTCCAATGATTTTTTTTTTGTTGGGTGTGAACTATCCATTTAAGGAGAATGGGTTCTGCAACATTTTTCTGTATACTTCAGGCAGTAGTATATTTAATACTTTTATCCCATCCTCCTTCTCTTCCTGATTCCCTCAAATTTGAACTTTCCTCAAGAATGGTCTTTGATTTTAAAACTGACTCTGTGGTTTACATAACATTTACCGCAACCGGCACAAAAGCCTCCTTTTAGAACCAGTCAATAACGACAGAATACTTCATAAAAGTGAGTTATTTCTTTTAAGCCTCTACTATTGCTCTGACCCTCACCAAAGAAACTTTGACAGGATCAATATCTTCACATAGACTACTTCCCACCAGTCTGCCTCTGCAATGTCAAACCGAATTGATCCGAGTTATGTCTAGCCTAACTTGCGGTGGAGTATATTTATTCTCTCCAGCACCAACTCACATTTGTGGCCGAGAGCCAAGGATAAGCCACTAGCGATCATTTGGTGCAAGCTCACACTGTGCGCAGCCAATAACTATTAGCGAATTCTTTCAGGTGTGTTTGGGAGGGAAGAATCGGGGCTGATAGTGAATTACACGCTTTCTGTAGAGTCCTTAAAAAGAGGAGGGTATAGTGGACTCTATATATATATTGCTTTCATGTGATTACAGCGGCCCGCTCCCTCAGGCGTTTGCAGCAACAATATGGCTAATACGTTCGCTTGCGTTGGAAAACGTTTTTTTCCTTCTGTTTGAAAGCCGTCCAGATAATTAGTGTCTAGGCTCACACTGTAATAAGCCATTGTGACAGAATAAGAACAATGGGTCTTTGGGCTCTAGCCTGGTAAAGAGGGACACGCAGCGGCCCGTCACTCAGTGCTGGCAGAGAGACAACTTGAGCATGTGTGTTGGGTCGCATCCCACTTTTCCTTAACAGCACGAGCAGGATGCGCTCCAGTGTTGTAAACGCTGCTGATGGCGTGTTTTCGCCTTACTCCCAAACAAGATGTATTTCAGATAATAAAATAGTCAAGGGGAAGCCAGCTCACTCGCCTGAGCGTCATCATTAAAAAGTTCTGCCTCAGCAAAGACGGCGAGAGGCGGAAAAAAACAGATTGCGGCCTTTTGCATCGTTTCGCTCCACTTTCGAATGACTTCTGCAATCGCTCAATCATATTCGTGCCATCCTGTCGGTATTAGCGCGCAGGAGGCCGAGGCTGCGCGGCGCGGAGGGACTTTAATCCGTGATGTCCTGCCACAACTATCAGCCTGCCATTGTCTCGCTCTGTCGTGTCCTTCATGATCGATTAGCCCGGGCTATAAAAGAAGGGTTATCGATCAATGACAGTGGAGAGGTGAGAAAAGAGGGAGGGAGGGAGAGAGAGATGACAGTCGCAGACATGTCCGTTCCCTCAGCGAGGGGAAAAAGAGGGATGAGCCCCAGGGAATGAAGCGAGATTGTGTCTTGTGATGTTTATGCTGTTCATCACTGCAAACTGAAGTTCGCTAGCCAGCTAATCTGTTACATTGCAGCCTAGCGGGGAGGGCTGCGGTTATGTGGTGAAAGAGGAGCCGTTTCCACATGTGTCTTGCTTGTATGTGTATTTTAAATGGCATACTGATTTATTGGTGTGATAGGGAAGCTCTGGGCGGTCTGAGCAGTTTATCACATCCCCGGATTTTCTTCTCTCCCCTCAGGTTATCCAAACATTGTAGCAACGTATGGCCGAGGATACACTGGTTTCGCCCCAAGCTACAGCTACCAATTCCCTGGTAAGTTCCATCTTGTTAAGCTCTGTATGGTGCTTCTCTCTCCTGCTGCCATCTGGTAATGGCCTCCCTGCTGACCGGCTAACTCACAAACACCAACAAGCTCCCGTCCCTGCCTCTCGCTACAGCCCCATGCTGAAAACTTTGCCGTGGGACTTTATACTTAAATACACATTCACATACTCAAACATTATACATCTTAATGTACAAAGACACGCACATATTGCCTTGTTCGGCCCCCTGCTGAAGCCCCACATCCACATGCTTGTAGCTTTACAGATAACACCGCCACACAAGATGTTTGTAAAACCCATGTGAGCTACAAACAAACCCATGGGCATCTCATTTTCTCTCCTTTCGCAAATTTATCCCAGACAAAGAGGGGTCTTTTTTGTCTGGGATAAATGTGATGCAGCAAAGCAGCTCTATTATTTCACGGCTCAGTTCTCAGAACTGAGCTTTGATAACCTGATGGTCCAAAGCAGAATCAAAACGTGCATGGTATATTTTAGTATGATGTTCTGCTCACTGGTTTATCTGGTACTGCTTTAATTGCACCTTATCTATTTCTGATACACGTGTGTTTGTTTTTCATCTCTACTGAAAAAAATAAAATAAAAAACAAAAACAATGGTCTAAGCCAGTCTGGTTAGCAGGTTTAAACTGGACTATCTGGTCTAAGCAAGATCAGATAAAAAGTTTAAAAACATACAGTATAAAAAAAAAAAAGTGTACCATATAAACTAAGCTATATATAAATTTGTCCACCCACTAAACCAGGTCTGCCTAAAAGTATTTTTTGTATATTTACTTTTAGGCAGACCTCATTTAATGGGTGGATGAATTTGTTTATCACACTGGTCTTCCAACGTGACCAGCTGTTAAAGGGGTCATTGGATGCCCATTTTCCACAAGTTGATATGATTCTTTAGGGTCTTAATGAAAAGTCTGTAACATAGTTTGGTTAAAATTTCTCAATGTAGTGTAAAAAACACCTGTTTTACCCTGTCAAAAACAGCTTTTTCAGAGCAAGTCGTTTTGTAGCATTTTCCTTTAAATGTTAATGAGCTTTGCTGACCCAGCCCCTCTCTTCCGAGCTGCTCTCTGAGGGACTGTTTACTTCGCATTCATCGGGAAACTTGCTAATTAGCACATTATTAGGAAAGGCGATTTGCAAAGATTCATTAAAAAACCTTATACTCACTTCTTCTGTACACACTGCCAACACACATTTCAGTTCAAACAACTTGTAAAAGTGCATGTAGCATTCAGTGACCCCTTTAAATTCCCAAGACCCCTTTAAAAATCAGCAGACCAGTTTAGACTGGTCCGTGCTGTTTTATTGTCTTTTTTCAGCAAGCACCGCACTAGTCCAAGTAGATGTATCTGCTGTGTGATGCTTTTCATTAATGTAAAAATTATGCATGGAATAATTAAAAAAATATAGGAACTTCATTTGAATATTTTCTTCATAAATATGAGACAACAGCTCTTGACAATTTCAAAATGGTGTTGTGTTCATGCAGTTGATCTTCAGCTGTACGTATGTAGCTGTGTATGTAGCCTCCCTCATCTGCAATCAGAGTATGTTCAAGAGGGGTTGCAACCTTATTTATGTGCATACATTTTTCATGTTTGTCAGTTGCTCAGAGGCCCTCACTGGCGATGAAATTCTTATGTTGAAATGGCTGTTAAGCGTAAAGGTGGCTGTTTGTCACATCGAGAACACTTAGCCATCTTCCCCTTTGATGCCAGCACACAAATAAACCTCAAACAATCCGTACAGCCGTCCCAAACTAACCATCGAGGGCAGGCGGAATATTCCAGTGGCGACTTGGATAAATAAACGAAGACGAACGAGAGTAATAGATAATGAGGAAGTGTAAATTGGCAGGCGCTTGAGGAAGAGCTACTGTGACTAAGCCCGGTTAGGGGGATTAAAACATCATTGTGGGCTCACTCTCTTCAGCGAGAAGTCTTAGCCCAGCGCCATGTTAGCAACAGTTCTGAGCCTAACAACATAGCAAGTCACCTCTGAAATATATGTGTAGGCCTATATCTAAACGCTGAACTCCCACCTGACGCTAAAAATAACCGGCCGAATAAACACATGCAGGTCCGCCCATGCAGAAAGCCTCATAACGCTAGCTGAAAAGCAATCGAGTGTATCGAATGCATATTTTTAGTGATATTGACCCTGGATATAGAGCTGAAGGTCTTGCTGGCATATGACTCACTAGCAAAATAGGCTGCAAACCGCTCGACTTAAACTGCAGTTCTAAGTGCAAAAAGGGGCCTTTTTTCTCCGCTCATTTAATCCCCTGGCTTTTCTTGTAAAATGATCTGCCCAGTGCCACTCCAAAAGGGTCCCCTCGCTCTTCCATTTCACATGTTGTCAATGACCTTGCTGTTGAACATATAGGGTGAAAAAGCTTTTTTTCCAGACTGCTCGTAGCACCTGGGATTTACTATAAGCTCGGCTGCAGCGAAGGTTAAAAATTGACTGTTGAAAAGAGAGAAGGTAATTTTTTTCAAGGCACTTCTTGTAATCTGCACAGGTGACTGGATTTGTAACAGGTCACAGGGGATGGCATGCGTGTGTTTTCTCTGAATCTGTGCATGTATGCAAGTTACCGTGTAGACTTTTAATGAAAACAAGAACTACATATTGCTTATCAATGGCACTCGGGTGGAAGTAAATCTGTGTAATGCTACAGTATGTGCGTATGATCGATATACAGTGTTTTTACCTTTCTAGTTCTCCTCAGGGAACAGCTTTGATCACTGATGGATTTAGTGTTTTCTTTGCCCCAAAGACATACAGGCATAAACAACCAATGGTGCTATGACAGAGTTTCTGAGCAAGTGTTGCTGCTATTGCCGTTTTCATACTAACATGTCCTCTGGTAGATAAGATAAGAAACAGCTGACAGGATCAGGCCACCTTCACTGTTATCTCCCCCTTCGCCAGGACACACGCACACACATTGTTCTTCTCATTTCTATGAGACTGAGAAGGGTGTTTCAGAGGCTATAAATCCATGAGAAACACATCTAATGCTCAGTGCCTCTCCAGCAAGCCTGTGGATCCATCAGGTTTTCCCCAAGCTGTGAGAGAAGATCTTCTCATTTTGGCGTAAGTCTGTAGATTAAGGCTGCATTGATCCAGAGGAGCGCAAGTAGAGGTGGTCTTATAAAAGATAATTTTACAGTGCGACCCTGTTGTTGTTTTGTGTTTTGTTTATTTCCTCTGTTTGATCTCGCCCCACATGGGTGCCAACCGCTTTTGGTTTTCCAAGCGGTGAATCATCTCTCCTCATCTTCGTTCTGCCACGATTTCTGGCATTTGACGTGGCTGGTGCTGATGAGAGCTGAAGGTTGTTCCGACATCAAGGTCGCCGCCCCTCTCAGCCCAGTCGGAATGAACAATGTGTTAGAACACCATCCTTTAGCTCTCATTCCTCCATTTATCTCTCCGTTCTCCTCAGGAGGAAGAACAGGGAGAGCTGAAATTGATGCTTCACTTTTGATTAGGGCCCAATCAGTTATGCAAACACTGAGGCTGTCGGGCACGGAGCCCATCTCCATTCTCTACGGCGCAGCCCTCTGCCGGTCCCATCATACAGATAACACAACCGGGCTCGCAGGATATTGGAGTGCAAACAAACAAATAAAGATGACTCTTTGGCTGACCAGAGATGCTCTTTGTGTGGGAGGCAAGGGAGACAGAGAAGGAGAGGAAATTGGGAGATGACAGAAAGAAGGCGTGAGTGGCACTTGCTGAGGGAAGGTATGATATGAGCCTGCTCCGTTGAGCTTGGCAGCACCTACAGACTTAAGGAAAGTGGCACAATTTCTTCTCTTTGACCCATTGTGAGGAGAGGATCATAAAAGGAGGAGAAAAAGTGAGAGAGAGCAGATGATGAATAGGCAACAGTGAAGTCTCCTGCAGCTGCACTACCCCATTCAGCTCTTCACCCAGATTAGCTCTAATTGAAAAGGCTGCTTATTAACTCAGTAGGTATGAGGCAAACACATTCACCATGTTACATGCTCAAAACAGGGACCGCTGAGCCGGACACACACACGGTTCTTAAAAACGTATCCCGCCGCTTCATTTAGGGGTAATTCTTGACTGACGTGGGCTGTGGTGGGCAGATGTTATGTGTGTTTACGGAGTGCACGGGGGCAGAGGTCATTTTGGAGGTCGTCTCGTAGCATAGATTAGACAGCCTGTCGCATGCGCCCTGCCTGAGGTAATCACGCTGATGACTCATCTGCTGTTCCCCACAGTCAGGCTGAATCCCTGTCATATCCCGCTCTGCACTGCAGAGGCGGTTTAACCAGTACAGGTTTAATTATCAGCTTGTATCAGATCTACAACTCAGACACTGCTCTGAATGGAGCAGCTTCTTTTGCCTTTAGGGAAGCACTGCAAAATGTCACATGACAGCGCAATCACAACGTATTTGATGTTTAATATACAGTTAAGTGAAGAGGGAACCAGTCAGATTTCACTGTGGACAGGCAATTTCACTACTCATTGTCCTTTAGCTCATTGTTTGACGTGGTTAATTAAGAGATTATAAAGCAAAAGATGACCAGGCTACAGATGCAGATTTACAGATGTAGTGTTTTTGTTTTTAATCTGTCAAACGAAAAGCTACATTTTGTCATTTGCTTAGTTTCTATTTCTTGCTTTACACAGTGTATTTTATTTTGTTTTGTTTTACTTATTTTATTACATGGTATTGTGTGTATTTATTTTGGATATTTTATGTTGTTTATTTTTTTATTTTTTTATTTATTGGTTTATTTTTATATGCATATTTTATGTTGTGATATATTGTGTTTTTATCATTTTATTTTTCTTTTATTATGTTTTTAATGGTACTTTTTTAAATTAATTTTGTTATTTATTTATTTATTTTTTAATTAAAATTATTAGTCGTGCAGTATTTTCACTTTGAGTATGCACAAATTATTTGCTGGAAACTTGTCGC